TACAGAAACAAAGAAGAGCCGGGAGACCTGGGGATGGACTGTCCAATCTCGGGGGCAGAAGTTGCTGAGGTAGTCAAACACACACACAGCGGCGGAGCCCCAGGGGCAGTTGAGGTTCATCCTGGGTATCTCAAGGCGATGGATGTTGTAGGGCTGTCGTGGTTGACACAACTCTGCAACATTGCGTGGTCATCGGGGGCAGTTCCTGTGGAGTGGCAGACCGGGGTGGTGGTCCTCATCTTTAAGAAGGGTGACCTGAGGCTGTGTTCCAACTATAGGGGGATCACACTCCTCAGCCTCCCTGGAAAGGTCTACTCCAAGGTACTGGAGAGGAGGGTCCGATCGATAGTTGAATCTCAGATTGAGGAGGAGCAATGTGGTTTTCGTCCTGGCCGTGGAACTGTGGACCAGCTCTATACCCTTGCAAGGGTGATGGAGGGGGCATGGGAGTTTGCCCAACCAATCCACATGTGTTTTGTGGATTTGGAGAAGGCTTATGACCGTGTCCCCAGGGGCACCCTGTGGGGGACGCTCCAGGAGTATGGGGTGGGTGGCTTTCTGTTAAGGGCCATTCAGTCCCTTTACCAGAGGAGCGTGAGTTTGGTCCACATAGCCGGGAGTAAGTCGGACCTGTTCCCAGTGAGGGTTGGACTCCGCCAGGGCTGCCCTTTGTCACCGGTTCTGTTCATCACTTTTATGGACAGAATTTCTAGGCGCAGCCGTGGTGTGGAGTGTGTCGAGTTTGGTGGCAGGAGAATGTCGTCTCTGCTTTTTGCGGATGATGTGGTCCTTCTAGCTTCATCCAGCTCTGACCTTCAGCTCTTGCTGGGTAGGTTCGCGGCCGAGTGCAGCTGGGATGAGGATCAGCACCTCCAAATCTGAGACCATGGTTCTCTACCGGAAAAGGGTGGCTTGCCAACTCCGGGTCGGGGGAGATGTCCTACCTCAAGTGGAGGAGTTTAAATATCTCGGGGTCTTGTTCACGAGTGAGGGTAGGAGGGATTGGGAGATCGACAGGCGGATTGGTTCGGCGTCTGCAGTGACGCGGACGCTGAGCCGATCTGTCGTGGTGAAGAGGGAGCTGAGCCAGAAAGCCAGGCTCTCGATTTACCGGTCGATCTACGTCCCAATCCTCACCTATGGTCATGAGCTTTGGGTAATGACCGAAAGAACGAGATCGCGGATACAAGCGGCCGAAATGAGTTTCCTCCGTAGGGTGGCCGGGCTCAGCCTTAGAGATTGGGTGAGAAGCTCGGACATTAGGGAGGGACTTGGAGTAGAACCGCTGCTCCTCCGGATCGAAAGGAGCCAGTTGAGGTAGTTTGGGGATCTGGTCAGGATGCCTCCTGGACGCCTCCCCGGGGAGGTGTTTCGGGCATGTCCTGCCGGCAGCAGGCCCCCGGGTCGACCCAGGACACGTTGGAGAGGTTACATCTCCAATCTGGTCCGGGAACGCCTTGGGGTCCTGCCGGAGGAGCTGGTGAAGGCCGGGGAGAGGACGGTCTGGAGCTCCCTAGTTGAGATGCTACCCCCGCGACCCAGACCCGGATAAGCGGAGGAAGACGACGACGACAGAAACAAAGAAAGATGAAAGCAGAGAGGTTTGATTCTGACAAACAAAACGCATTTCCTTTTTTTTTTTACGTATCCAAGACGAGCCTTACGGTTTTAATCTCACAGGTGGAGCGTTCTAGCTTCTGCTGTGATGCTCCTGATGCCAAAACTTTATTAGGAATAGTTGTTTAAAACACCAACGGACACAGAGACAGAAGTGTAAGAGAAAGGGGGAGAGAGAAGGAAGAGGTGGGGGAGGGGATTCACAAAATTAACAATAAATGATGAACAAGAATCTGCTTTGAGAGAGAGAGAGCGAGAGAGAGAGAGAGAGAGAGAGAGAGAGAGAGCAATATGAGGATATATAACAGTAACTATTTCTGCTGAGAAACACACGGTAATAACTCACAGTGCATTTAGTGCCGACCACAGCCACCACACAGGTGATGTGAAGGGAAGTCCACCTGATGAGAAAACCTGTGTGTGTACACACATCTGTATATGTAAGGTTTCTCTATAGGAGCGTACAATAATGTGAGGGGCCACAGACTTGCCCCCAAGCCCTAGAGATCCATGGGTCTCTCTGAAGAGCAGGAAACCCAGGGAGACAGCCGCTGGAAGAGCCCCAACCCCCTCCCAAGAGGCACAGGGGGTTGGGGCAGAACCCTGAGAGATAATAACTGCAAGCCCCGAGGCCCACCCGCAGACGCCCACAAATGCACAATAAAATACATTTCCAAAGAATTTACATTTCCTACACAAGCTAAGGTCCCTGAAGGCATCAGTAGTGGAGCTGTTTCCTGTTATCAACTGAACCTGCATCAGGTGTTCAGCTGAAGCTAGGGCTAGCACCGATACGAGGATGGTACTGCGTGAATCCTAGGTTTGCGTTTTAGAACGTTAGATTCTAAATGTCAGATCCAGGTTAGAAACCCTTTGTTTGTGACCAACAAGTGTTGAAGTTCAGGATTTTGATGTTCATCCTGTTGAAGGAGAGGATGTTTGGAAGAGTCGACATGGTGGCCGGCAGCCCCAGGAGAGCTGGGAAGGAGACCCCGTGGATGTGAAGCCCGTGGGAGAACAGATGTTTGTCAGGAGGACCCAGATGTTTATTCAGCTGCTTCGTCTGTGTAGCGTTGTGAATGTCCTGTTTTTGACCTAAAGGTCATGATCTGCTGCATCTGCTTGAGCAGATTAGTCTCTGACAGGCTAATCTACATGAGATAGTGGCCAAGGTCTTTCATGCACTCGGCTCATCTGAACTGCTTCACCTGTTACAGCTCAAAACGAAGAACTCTTTTGATAAATACATAATTAACAACTTTGTTATTACCAATAATAATGTGAGCCCAATGTTCAATCAATCTGTGAAGTGACAATGTTAGTACTTGATATTATAATCCTGTGATCAGTAGTATTTTACAGGTAATTATAATCCTGGACATTTGCACTAGACACTAATGACACGTAATGCTAAAGTCACACGACACATTTCCTTTTGTCTGATCCAATCAGAATCTTCGTTTCTGGCGCGAGGCATGGTTTTCTGTGGTGTTTGTATAAGCCCTCTTTTTGCATGTCAATTCTGATTCGCCAGTAAACCAAAATATGACAATTATAAAACTATTCCACGCCACCTTTTCTTTAGTTCAAAGCGTTCTAGAGAAGTCTCGGACAGGCCATCCGGACTTCCTCTTCAGCCAAAAAGAACCTCGACAAGCGGGATAAAATCTGTTGCAAGTTACACCTGACCGCAACGGTTCCTTCAGAATAAAAGCTGAACCTCACGACCCCTTCAGGGTCTCGGAGACGCCAGTGATAACCTGTCGTGACCTGGAAGCATTCCAAGACCAGTTTGGTTGGCACCGCTGCTTTTCTACCGGCTTTGGTTCCAAGGAGGGTCCAAGAGGACCTCGGCATTCTGGATCTAACGGAGGCTTCCCCTGGGGTACGTAGACCGACAGATGGCGTTTCATGTGTGTTATAAATCTCCTACTAAAGTTTAGAGCGAAACATTCACTCCCACTCAGAACTAAATGCTTCTCCGGATCCGCTGGTTCTGATAACAACATTCCACACATACATCATTCATCTCACGTCTCACTCCACCTTAGTCCATCAGTACACAGAGTGTTAAAGTTAATCTTGTTTAAATTGTGTAGAAGTAAATTTCTTAACTATTTTAAGCCTGACTCTCTCTCTTTCCTTGGAGTTAATACAAAGTGTTGCTTAATCCCTGCAGTAAAAAGTTCTGATCTTCTGGTTAAAATATTCAAAGATCCATCAGATTGATATTTCACATTTCTATGGAATCTCACATTTTATCGTTCATAAGTAAGATGTAAACTACCCATTTTTATATCTGTTATTAAAGAACGAGTCACATGTGTGAGACAGAAGCCTGAAGCCGCTGCAATTCCATTTATATATATATATAAACAACAATAAAGAATGTTTTCTAGCTTGGCGCTGCAGGTTTTTGAACCTGAACGTTTGATCTGGGTTGAACTCCTCCGGTTGTTGCCTTCGTTACGTTGGACCACAGTTGGGGGGGGGCAGCAGCATCTACATGGAGTCTGCTCTCATCATTGAAGATGAGAGGATTTCACAGCAGCCTCGTGTGTGTGTGTGTGGGGGGGGGGGCATGACTCTTACCAGGAAGAGCAGGATGTGTCTGAGGTTGAACGGAGTCCTGATAAGCTGTTTAATCCTCAGATTCGTCACATCGCTGCTGCCAAAAATAAATGTCATCAGGAGGATTCCTCGGTGGACACGCCCTAATGGTTCATCCTGGTGAATGCTTACTTCACTGAGGTCAAAGGCCACCTGCTGGACCAGAATAACACTTCCCAGAATCCACCAATCAGAGAGCAGGGGTGCCCAGTTCAGCATCTGCTGAGTTCTGACTGGGACTGGGACCCATCTGGTTGGTTTCTAGCTAGGATCAGCTGCTGGTGCTGCAGTGCATTCTGGGTAAACATCTCTGCTTTGTTCAGACGTCGTGACCTTCAACCCACTGACTGATGCTTTCTGATCATTTCTCTACGAGATGACCTCTGGGGGGCGGCACCAGGTCCTCCCTGCATCCACACACACCTGTATGCTCCAGTTTTAGCACTCTTTAAAGATGGACGTCAGATTGAATCAGTCAACAGATGACCTGGATTAAAGTGATGCTGCTGAGGTCTACCTGTCAGGTAGGTTAACCTGTGTTGAGTTCAACTGGTTTAACTGGGTCACTACCAGCAGCTGTGAGCCCGTTTCTGGAGGCGCTGGTGGCGGCTCTGAACCGATCACACCCTAGAGAAATGGGTTGGCGTGCTGAAGGTTCTGAACAAACCCGGTCCCTTCAGAGAGAACGTTTCATTAATGATCTGGTTCCAGAACTCAGAACTGCAGACCCAGAGAACTAACAAGAACCATGTTCCACCTTCGGCAGAAGAAAAGGCGTTCCAGGAAACTGAAATGAGTGATTCCTGAGATGAGTGGGTGGAAATGTCTTGTTTGGGATTGGATTTGAGGAACTTTGATGTCTGAACCAGGTCAGCCGGTTACGTAACACACCTGCAGCCAAGGCTAGGTAAGTCAGCCGCTCCCACCGGGACCAGCACAGCCCCACGGCAGAGCGGCTCATCTCATTAACAGGTTATATTTAGTTCCTCGCTGATTCTTCATCCAGAACCTAAGAGGGTTAAAAAGTCCTGAAGTCTGCTCGGCGCCTGGACAGCAGCAGCAGCAGCAGGACGGAGGACAGACCCATCTCGGGGCTCCCCTGTGGACTCACTCTGTCTTCTTCCTGTCTGACTCGAGTCCAAACAACCAGCCACTGAGTCCATCTGTTCTCTAGCCGGGCAACAGCCATGGGGAACCACGGCTCCAACCTGGACGACATCCTGGCGGAGGACATGCACCACTGGTATAACAAGTTCATGAAGGAGTCTCCGTCGGGCCTCATCACGCTGTTCGAGCTGAAGGCCATCCTCAACCTGAAGGGCATCACTGAGAACGCCAACAGCTACGTGGAGCAGGTCTTCTTCACCTTCGACATGGATGGGGTGCGTTTCAGATACACACTGCTGTAATTACTGGGCTGGTTCTGGTTTCACTGGGACCGGCTTGAACCTTATTGCTAAGTCAGATCTGTAGGACTTCATCTATTTGGTGCAGCGTTCAGATGTCTAGTTAGCAGCAGGTTAGGGTTAACCTTAATTAATAAAGGATGGTTTCAGAAACCATGTTCGAGGGTTTCAGGACGACGGCGATTCTGGCCTCGGGAAGCACCAGGAGGACGTGTGCTGGGCTGTGGTAGGTCCAGCGGGTAGCAGATTCTGACACCAACAGGGACCCAGTCCAGCGCAGTGAGGGCAGGACCGATCGGTTAGCTCCTCTCAAGTTTAAAATGCTTTAATGCCCTGGGTTCTGCCTGCAGGACGGCTACATAGACTTTGTGGAGTACATAGCAGCCGTCAGCCTGCTGCTGAAAGGAGAAATCAACCAGAAGCTTAAGTGGTACTTCAAACTGTTCGACCAGGACGGCAACGGAAAGATCGATAAGGAGGAGCTGGAGACCATCTTCACAGTAACTAGCTTTTCATTCCCACACTAGCTAGTAACGGTGTAGTGCTTCTCATTCTTCATGTACTCACACTGCCAGTGATGGTGAGCTACTACGTAGCCACAGCCGCAGCAGGAAAGCTAGGGGAGGCGTGTCGCCCAAGGACACTACAGCAGGACCCGGGCTGCTGGACAACCTGCTCTAGCTTCTGCTGCTTTATGGGCCAAATGATCCAATCAGAGGAGCGGCCTCCCCTTAGGGCCCCCAGCCTGTCTGGGTTAGGGTCCTGTTGGACCAGAACCAGAGCCGCTCGTCTAATCCACACTCACCTGATAGAACGATTTGGTCGTTTTTCCACTTCATCTTTAAAATCGTTTCATTTCCTAATTTCGAACGTAAAGATTGTTTCTGTTCTAACGGACTAGCTTTAGTGTTTTATGGTGGCGTCCTGTAGAAGCAGCTTGTTCAGGTGTGTGCGTGACTTCATCGCCACCCTCTCCGAGCTCTGCCGTTTCTGGGATCCACTCATCTGCCTTTTTCCCTTTCCTTACATTTTAATCACCTTTTTCTCATTTTAACCACATTTTGTCATTTTTTTGTTTGAATTTTTGTTCTCGTGAAGCAGCGGCTGATGTTTAGCTTTAGGCGCTTCGTAAAAGATCATTTTCTTTATGTATTTATTATTTTTTCAGACGCAGCTGAGCTCATCTGGTCTGAAATAAAACATTTTAAAGTTAGAACCTAATTTCATCAACACCCGGGTTTAGAGCAGGATTTTGTCTTTCATGTTTCTAACTTTAATCTCAGAGGTTAGGGTTGATTAAACTAGAGGAGCAGGTGGTCCTGTTTCATTTGGGTCGCTTCATTTCCTCTAAACGGGACTCCAACTAAACTGATAAAACGTCGTCACCTCAGATAGACACGGGTGGAGACGTGTGAAAGTTCCCAAGCTGGAGGGTTACCAGCTGACCCTGAGTCAGCAGCCAACAGCAAGGCGGGATTAACTCTGAAATTAGACCTGTGTTAATCTGATGAGAACCTGGTGTAACGGGCCACGATCCCAGAGAACCCCCGAGGCCACCCCACAGATGAAGGTTTTTATTCAACGGGACAAAAGTTTAGTTTGTTGTGACTCTAAAGTGAAGAGGGGTTGTTGTGTGGCTGACTTATTTGTTGTTTACTTGTTGATTTGTGGTTGTGTAACTTGCGCTGCTGTTTGTCGCCTCCTGCAGGCCATCCAGGACATCACCAGGAATAGAGACATCGACCCGGAGGAGATCGTCACGCTCATCTTTGAGAGGATAGACGTGAAGGGTGAAGGTAGGACTCACCACTGCCTTCGTGTAACAATCTCGTTTCAGACAACACAATGACCTTTGACCCCTCAGGTGAGATGACGCTGGAGGAGTTTATTGATGGAGCCAAGGAGCACCCAGACATCATGGACATGCTAAAGAACCTGATGGACTTGACGCCGGTTCTGGAGATTATAGTTGAGGGTCGGCAGCCTGCCATCAAAGACTGACCGGGTCCAACAAGCAGAACTACTTCTGACCTGAAAAAAGCCTCAGAACTGGAAAGGACCGCAGCAGGTGCTGGTCTGGGACCCGGTTCTCAGGCTGGTCCTAGCCCAGCCGGTTTAAAACCAACCAACAACCTGTAGAAGCATCGTCTAGAGGCGGGTTACACCTGGACAGGTTAGTCCCTGATCAGACGTCTGACCTAAAACGTTTCCTCGAACGGATTTAAACGTTTCAACATTTGTCTTCAGGGTTGAATTTGGATGAGTAGAACCGGGCCGCAGGTTCTGTTTCAGATCAAATCCTCTTCATCAGTGACCTTCATACAAAACTGTGATGTCATAATTACCCAGAGTTCACTTCACCTTCAGTTTGAGTCTAGAGTAAAAAACCGTTCTGGACCAAAGATCTGACTCAAACCGAGTCACGGGTCAAAATGTTGCCTTGTGACCTTTGAACTCTTCTTTCCATGTCGCCATCGTCAGGTTAAACCAATCACCGTGGATCAAACGCTTCTGCTTCAAAATACACTTTCAGCGTGTGTGTGTGTGTATATATGTGTGTGTATGTGTAACTGTGTGTGTGTATATATGTGTGTGTGTGAGAGATGTGTGTGTGTGTATATATGTGTGTGTGTGTGTATATATGTGTGTGTATGTGTATATATGTGTGTGTGTGTGTGTATATATGTGTGTGTGTGTGTATATATGTGTGTGTGTGTATATATGTGTGTGTGTGTGTATATATGTGTGTGTATGTGTATATATGTGTGTGTGTGTGTATATATGTGTGTGTGTGTGTATATATGTGTGTGTGTGTATATATGTGTGTGTGTGTGTATATATGTGTGTGTATGTGTAACTGTGTGTGTGTATATATGTGTGTGTGTGAGAGATGTGTGTGTGTGTGCGCGTGCGTGTATGTGTGTGAGAGAGACGTGTGTGTGTGTGTGTGTGTGTGTGAGACGTGTGTGTGTGTATGTGTGTGTGTGTGCGTGTGTGTGAGACCTGTGTGTGTGTGCGTGTGTGTGTGTGTGTATGTGTGCCTGTGTGTGTGTGTGTGTATGTGTGAGACCTGTGTGTGTGAGACCTGTGTGTGTATGTGTGTGTGAAACCTGTGTGTGTGTGTGTGTGTATATATGTGAGACGTGTGTGTGTGTGTGTGTGAGAGACCTGTGTGTGTGTGTGTGCGTGTGTGTATGTGTGCCTGTGTGTGTGCGTGTGTGAGACCTGTGTGTGTATGTGTGTGTGAGACCTGTGTGTGTATGTGTGTGTGAATATATATGTGTGTGTATATATGTGAGACGTGTATGTGTGTGTGTGTGTATATATGTGTGTGTGAGAGACGTGTATGTGTGTGTGTGAGACCTGTGTATGTGTGTGTGTGTGTGTGTGTGAGAGAGAGAGAGAGACGTGTGTGTGTGTGTGTGTGTGTGTGTGTGTGTGTGTGTGTGTGTGTGTGTGTGTGTGTGTGTGTGTGTGTGTGTGTGTGTGTGTGTGTGTGTGTGTGTGTGTGTGTGTGTGTGTGTGTGTGTGTGTGTGTGTGTGTGTGTGTGTGTGTGTGTGTGTGTGTGTGTCTTCCGTCCACCACCTCCAGCTGGAAGCCTGCAGGTGGACTAAGGCCGGTGTTGTTGATCTTTGAGGAACTCAGCTTTTGACTCCTCCTCTGGAAACTTTGTGGTTTTTGCACAAAACCATTGATGTTTTGTTCTGTGGGCCGACCTTAGAACGTGTTAAACCCATGTGACCTCATTAACGACGAGGGAGGCTGTTGGGTTTCCATCATCGTAAAGCTAACCTGCAGGTTAGCATCAAAGCTAAGTGTTCTGGTTCTGTTCTGGCCTTAATAAAGTTTTGACTTCAGACCTGAAGCTTGAATCGTGTTTTATTACATCTTTACTGAATCAGCTGGTCTTACCGTTTCACAGTGAAGGAACTCTGGTCTTAGACACGTTCTGATGCAGAAAAGCCATCAGCGACTAAATTAGATTCTAATCTCACAAAAAGCTACAGCAGGTCTCAAACTCTTCCCAGAATCTTTAAGTTTGTCCAGAACCAGACCCGAGCAGCTGGAACGGTACCGACATCTAAATGAAACGTTTTGGTCCACGGTGTCCGCAGGATGGGTTTGCTGTTCTCAGGTCAGCTTGGTGTAAACCGTCTGGACCTCCAAGTCTCAGAACCCATCCTCGGAAGCAGAACAAAGAAGAGCAGGAACACATCGTCTCGGTAAGGGGGGGGGGGGTTCTATTAAGGATTGGACAGAAGAACCTGAGGAACAGAACCAGGCCAAAAAATAGGTCCAGAACTCAGTTCTGTACGTTTTCCTTCAGAGGATCCAGAACCAGAGACTCCAATCCTCTCCTGATGAGGTTGTTGGTGCGTCAGTGCCTTGCTCACAGCCAGGTGGTGTTGGGTGGCGTGGGCATGTGTGGGATCTGACCTGTGACCTCTCAGACGTACGTTCTCACGGCTGTTTGGCTTTGCAGTCGGATCGCCACAGGCTGAGGTAAAGACGCAGGAACGAGTAGCAGACGCCCACGGAGCAGTACACCGAGGTCACCAGCAGGGGGAGGAACGGCAGTCTGCGTTTCCACGGTGACAGCGGGAAAACCACCTCACAGGCAATCGCCACGGCAACCAGGCCCAACAGGTAGAAGACCTCCAGAGGACGAAGCAGAGACCCCTTACCACTGAGGAGAGAGTAATCTGATTACTCAAGACGGCCGAAAGAGGACTCCTCAGAACATAAAACAAACCACCCAACCACAAGCACAGCTGATCACATATGAAGGTTCTAGGCTGGCCACCTGAGCAGCTGCTGGAGCTCTGGGTATCCTGGCCTTGCTCACACCTGCTCTTCATACGTCGTGTCGTACCGATGTTTTCTTTTAAATGTAAACACCATCATCCCCATTCGCTGGCTCTCCCCCCGCGACTGCATTTCTGTCCACCGCAGTAACCATCGTCAGGTTTCCTGATGTCGCTGTCGTAGGGCTCGTCTCCGGGGAGATGAGACCGCCTACTGCTGGAGCCTGCTCCTCAACACAGCAGCTCACACAACGCCCAGCCACTCAGCGTAAATGGAGACTGTGCGGAGAGGGTGTCACCATCAGTGAGGACCTGTCCTCGCTCTTCACTTGAAGAACTTTACAACTCCTACTGCAGGACTATTCACTCTGGTCCTGCAGGGCCGGTGTCCAGCATGTTGACTTTTAACCTGCTTCAAGACTTCAATCAGCAGGTGGTTAACAGGCTTCTGCAGAGCTCGAGGAGCTGCTGCACAGGTGATTCAACCACTGAATCAGGTGTGCTGGAGCAGAGAAACCACTAAAACGTGCTGGGTCCCGGCCCTGCAGGACCAGAGTGAATAGCCCGGTCCTGTAGTGGTAGGAAGGCCACACCCAGGCGTTTAAAGACTAAAACAAACAGACTTAAGTTTTATCCTTCAGCCATCACCATGGGACATTCTGAGTCAGCGGCAACAAGGCAACACATCTTAGACCCTTGTTTGTTTGTTTGTTTGTTTATGCCACAGCTGTTAGCTGCATGCTAGCACTGGCTGAAGGGATAGAAGCCTTAATGGTCTCCATGCAGCTGACCTGTTCCTTAGCCTAGCTGCTCTTTCTTAACTAGTGCGATGTTTTATTCTGCACTGGACCGTCACGCCTAGTTTTGTTGTACAATGTCAACCGTTACGATGTCAATAAAGTTTTCCCACTCATTGTTATTAGCCACTGGTTTCCTCTATCGCCACTCTGCCTGCATCACTGCTGTTACATCTGTTCGAGCCGTTGGGCTAGCTCTCATGCCATCGTTGGTCAAATATTTTAATTGAAACATCCATAAAAGTCTAATTTGGGATGGTCTGGAGGACACCTGGAGGACACCTGGAGGGGACGTGGACAGGTGTGTGCTTACCGGTGAAGCCTCCTGAGAGCGGTGAAGGAGAAGGTGGTGAACATGAGCATCAGACACACTTTGATCAGCAGCTCTGAAAACAGAACCATGAAACCGTTCAGGAGCTAAATCCCCAACTTTACCGGAGACAAACCCGAGGTTTCACAGTGAGTCAGAATCTGGGGCTTCACCTGCGGGGGTGTGGAGCAGCGGGAACAGGGAGTAATGTCCCGTGGTGCTCAGCAGCAGGAATATCCCAGCATCCTCTCTGCTCTCCACGGCGAGGATGCTGCAGAGAAAAAACATCCACATGACCCCATCCTGTCTGTGCACCGCTGGACAGTAGACCGGTCAGCTGACCTGAGCGGCAGGATGACCAGGAGGACGGCTTTCTCGTGGACATGCCAACCGAACATGAAGGATCCGAGTGCACAGAGCAACAGACAGCGCAGGAAGCCACGAGCTCCACGAGGACGCCGCCAAATGGACACCACCGCTGGCTTTTTGTGGTGGGGGCATATTGGGAATGTTTTAGGAATTTCCTTCAGGAATGCTGTTCATCCCAGTGGGACTGTAAACACAACAGTTTGCAGTTGTGACTCACCAGGATGGAGAGGAGGGTGCAGAAGAGAGTGGTGGCGGGAGAGATGGAGGGGAGGACTGAGTGCTGGAACTCCTGGACCAACCCACCCGTCATGGAGGCTCGGGGAAGCTCCGCCTCCTGCAGCAGCTTCAGACGAACACCTGGAACCACACGGTCCGACCGGTTTAGACTTCAGTCAGAGCAGCTCTCCGTCCCGGTGACGACAGAAAGCTAGACCTATCAGAGCTCCGCGCCGTTGAAGAGGAGGAAACGTTTGGCTGTAAAAACTTTTTACAGAAGAATCACAAACATCTGAAAGATATAATAAAAATAAACAAACATCCAGAGGATGGTTTTACCAAACAGAACCTCTGGACCTATTAGAGGTCCTGTTAAAACTAGGAGCCTCACCCAGAACCACCAGAACCTTATCCAGGATGTTGTAAAGGGCCCAGATGTTCGGGGCCCAGTAGGCGTGACAGAGGCCCCGTTTGAAGGGGAAGAGCCGAGACAGAACCTGAGGAAGCTGACCCTGAAACAGAAGAAACATTCATCACGACTCTGGTGAAGAAAGCCCTCAGAACCGTTTCTGGTTCTGGTCAGATGGACCCACCATGACTAGGAACGGACCGAAGGACAGGGTGAAGACGGAGACCACGATACCACCCAGAACCAGCAGGCGCAGTAGGCTGAAGCTCCTCCACCCGATGGATCCATCTGACCACACACACACACACACACACACACACACACACACACACACACACACACAGACAAAGTCCTCCTCCGATCCAAGACCAGAACCTGAACCTGGCCCAGGACCTGCTCTACCTTTGACATCCCGAGTGAAGCAGTAGTCCCTCAGCAGGTAGACACCGTACGCCGGAGCCACATACAGATAAATGTGCTTCAGGTTGAGCAGGATGGAGAACAGCAGCGCCCCCTGCAGGTGCTCAGACTGTCGAACACAAGCAGAGTGAAGAAGACGGCAGCATTTCAAAAGAGCGGTCCTGACTCAGTCGTCGGCAGGTGTTACCTGCAGGTGTTTAGCCACAGACAGCAGCAGGAAGCCGAACAGGAAGCCGTTATACTGGAAATGGATGTCTGAAGGAAAAAAGTCATGAAAAAAGCTTCATGTGCACTTTGGAGACCCTGTGACATCATTTGCAACAGAGGTCAGAGTGCTCCTTTAACCTTCTAGCCTATCTGAGGTAGGTTTGGTATTCAAATGATAATATCCTCCAACTTCCTCCGCATGTCATCGGGTGGACGGTATTACCGGGACCAATTTAAAAATGATGACGTAAACCTCAGACAGACGGTTTGGACCTTCAGAAACTGAATAACACGATAACTAAAACAACAACATACATAAAAAGCAGCTCATAAAGACATTTGCACCAGTAAAACCAGCATGTTTACCAGCATGTTTACCTTTTTCAGCTCCGACTGCTAATAACCCGCGCCGACGTCTGAGAAAGGCTGGCTCAGCTCCGCCAGAAAAGCGCATTTTTTTCTTCTTATGCTTTTAAGATCTTACAAAAATATTCCTAAATATTTTGGATTAGTTTACAATATTACTGAGTTACTATTACTGAGTAACTAAACATATTTGTAAAAAAAACATAGCAAAAAAAAAAAGGGAAAAAATAAGAAAATGCATCCGTCCATCCATCCACTGTCTGAACCCACTATATCGATGTAGGGTCGGGGGGGGGGGGGGGGGGGGGGGGGGCTGGTGCCCATCTCCAGCGGTCAATGGGCAATCAAGCGGGGTACACCCTGGACTAAGTGCCAGTCCATGCAGGTGTGATCACAGACACACAGGACAAACAATCATGCCCTCACACCTAAGGTCAGCAACCCGTTTGGTCACTGGTGCCCTTTCACTACTCATCATTGTGATCTGTACTCACTCGTTAACTGGCCATCACTCCATTCCTGCAGGACGTTACATCTGTATCAGTTCATATGCAAAACCATCATCGGTAGAAGCCGCCAACAACCAGCACAATTTACGTTCCAGTAACTTAATATCTATGGTCAAAGCTCGCACCTCCTTTGGCCGCTCCTCATTCCAGTTTGCTGCTTCCAACGACTGGAATGAGCTGCAAAAACCACTGAAGCTCACTACCTACGTTCCATTGTCTACCTTCACTAATTCATGGTGATCAATAGTTTCTGATCAATGTGTCTGTTTCTGAGTACTTAAGACTGTTCTGATTGCGTGTACATATTATATATGAGAACAGTCCTTTGTCTTTATGTCTAACTGTGTTATACTACATGTTTTCTGTGGTGAAAAGCTAACTATGTGTCTGTTGCTGCTGCCTCTTGGCCAGATCGTCATTGTAAATGAGAATCGGTTCTCAATTGACTCATCTGGATTAATAAAGGTTAAATAAAACAAATAAATAGCCTCCTACGTGTGCTGTTTTATTTCATGACTACTGGAATTGTCCCCGTCTGTATACGGCATTACTGCCCAATCTGAAGTAGATCGCTGTGTCTCAGGAAAAGGAACTGAGCTGAAGTTTTATCAGAAGAAACAGAACTCATCAACACTTCCAGAGTGAGAATCACCTCAAATGTGGAAAGGTTTAGGAATCTGAACGTTAAACAGCAGCAGAAATGATGGAGGAGCAACAAAGACCCACAATGCACAATGTCAGTGAATATAACCGCCTGTGTGCAGCTTCTGCTCTCAGAACCAGAACCAGCTAAACTCAGCAAGAGGCTGCTTGATACAAACACAACAAGACTACAGACACACACACACATCAAAATCTGTGATGGAAAGGATACGGTCAACGACAAAGAGGCCAAAGTTCCACAGCAGCAACACAGAAAGGACAAAAGACGGCTGGTCCAAAATATCCCGGGACACTTTCTGCACCTGGACGCACCTGCTGCACCTGGACCGGAACAATCAGGGCAGAGGGTCTGAACCCCAACAACAAACCACATCCTACACATTGAAAGTGTGTGTGTGTGTGTGTGGGGGGGAGGCTGTTGAGCTGTGATCAGAATCTGGACTCACTCTCTGACAGCGAAGATAAAAACCAGGTCGGTGAAGATGACTGAAAGCCTCTGGAACATCACCGTCTCTGGACTGGCATAGTTCAGGTTCTCCACCAGCAGCATGTTCTTGTCAAAGTGCTGCGCCACCTTCGACAGTCCAAACTCGAACCAGGCGAACAGCGGCGGGTAGTCCAGAGTCCACTCTGATGTGTTCTGAAACACAGCAGCGCTCCTTCCTCTCATCAGCTGCAAAAATGAGTTTCCTGAGCAGGAAGTTTCTGGTGGTACTGACCTCATGGTACCAGCTGGACACTGGCAGGCTGTGTGTGATGGCTAACCAGTTCCTGTGCACCTCAAAGTCTGTGGAACGACTGGAAACCAGCAGAACAGATGAAAACAGTCGACAGGAGAGGAAACTAAAAGCGTCTTTAAAACGAATAAACTGGGTTTTTATAGTGAAATTGCGTCCCTTGTGCCGGGACTATTAACCATCCAGATCTGGATCCCAGCAGGTCCAGATGAAGGTAACTGGAGCTTCTCTGGACTCCCCGGGAGCCTCGGAGAAGCGAAACGTCTTTAAAAAACGAATTAAGTCCAGCTAAGCTGGCTTCATTTGAACCTGCTAAGACTAAACAAACAGTTAAAACACACCAATCCTCGTTTCGAAATAAGCCAACATCTCATCCTCTCCTCCAAACCGAGACCGAAACCCGTCACAGTCTGTAGGCTAGCTGTTAGCTTCTCCGCTAGCATGGATATATTATGTGTTTAATTACCCATTAAATAATATTCTTTTGATCTAAAAGCAGCACCGGAGCGGGACAGTGGATAACGGAGAAACTGTTCCACTCACTAAGCGTTGATGAATAAGCATTTAAACAGCGAAACTCCCGCTGCTAACGGCAGGAACCAGCTCCAGCCGTCCGACTGGACCGCCATGTTGAAAACTTGTTTTTTTTTTTTCAAAACTTTATTGAACAAGGTGAAAGTATACAATCAAATTGCATACAAAATTGAACAAAGATGAAACATATGCCAGGGGGTGTGCTACAGAAATTGCTGAAAACTTGTTTAGTCAGAGTAGAAAACACTAGGCCTAACAGAGCCGTCATCGAACTTCTGATTGAATATTTAAACTCACCTTTCTAAGTAAAAACTACTCGATTATGCAGGGGATAAATAGTTCTGACAGAATAAAAGTTCAAAAAAATTAAAATCAACAAATAAATTTAATTAACAGGTGTTTTACACCAGCAGGGGGCGATGTGTCTGCGATGGTCCTGAACGGTTCATCAGACTGTTTCCGGGCAGTCCCTGAAGTTTGTTTTTGCGCATGCGCGTGGTCGTGCTCCTAGACTTTTACCGAAACAGAAAACGGTATGAACGCGCTGCTGCTGCGGTTCGGTCCGAGGCGGCTCTGCGCTCTCAGAGGTGAGGAGGTGGTAACGAGTAATTGTACTCAAATACTACTTACCAGGTCTCATTTGAAAAGTAGGTTTTAATCCCGGTTCTGTAAAAAGGAATTTATACTGCGCATGCTCAGGATAATCAAAATTCATTATAAATTGTTTGTGTTTATTTTTAGTTTCCCTACTTTACGTTAAAACTATTTTCTGTTTGTGGTTTTGTGTAACTTGTTTGGGTCACTATTTTTGATTAGGGGTGTCAAATATGCGGCCCGCGAGATGATTGTGTAAATCTTATTTTCAGACTTTACGATGTAAAGTCTGAAAATAAGCTTTCATTTTTCAATTAAACTGCTGGTGAAAGCTAAAAGATGTCAGGTATCAGGAGTCAAAGACATGCGTGAAACTGCCATGTGATCTGTGAATCAGTTATTTGAATTACTGAGGAATAGTCTGTTTTTTTTATTTTTTGTATTTCACATTTTCGAATACACTTCAGGTGTTTTATTATTAATAGTGATGTTGTGCTTAAACTATTTTGGATACACTGTCCTCAGGCTCCAGCTTTGTTTTATGTTGATCGTATTAAAACAAAGAAAACAATCTAAAGCAGTTTTTAATTTATACATACTTTAATTTTACTGGTCTGGCCCACTTGGGACTAGATTTTCCTCATTGTGGCCCCTGAGCAAAACTGAGTTTGACACCCCTGGCCTAGACCGTGTATGAGACATTTGCGCTTTAGGGTGGGCAGCAAAGCTAGTTGTTTTGTTTTTTCTGCTGATTTTTTAAAACAATCTTTATACTAACAAAACCACTTTACCTTGTCTGAACCCAAACCTTCTGTGGCAGGTTTTCATGTGGGAGCACCGTCTGCGACCTTTGACCTGAGGAGGGTTGAACTGACACCTCTGGAACAGAGGAAGCTGACCTTTGACTCCCATGGCCTGGTGACGGAGCTGAAGAACAGTGGTGAGTCAGGACTCCAGTCTCAACACTGGCTCTTATCTCTATATTAAACTTATTTAAAATAATGTTTCACCCAAAAAAAAAACTCCTAGAATCATCTAATACTCACTAAAGTCGTCTCAATCAGTGATCTGATCTCAAACTAAAACATCCGATTTTATTGAGGTGCCTGAATGCACCATTACAGTGGCGCTGCTAACACGTGGTCATTAGGAGCTCATTCGTTTATTCATCAGAATCTTTTAAGCTAAAACAAAAATAAATCAACTGTTCTCGGTTCTCTTCGATAAATCTGAATCGGACCTCAGAACCAGAGTGGACAAAAGTCTAGAAGACCAGAAGATCATCAGTCAGGTACTGTGTGTGGTGCTGATGTTGGGTCAGTTTGGACTCGGGTTCTGTTTGTTCCTCTGCAGGTTTTGAGAAGGAACAGGCAGAACTGATCGTCTCAGCTCTGGTCATGTTGACCACTTCCAACATGGACATTGTCTACAAGGACATGGTGACCAAGTCTCACCAGGTAGGAGATCGATTTCAGCTTCAGCCAAAGAGAACCGGTTCTGCTCATCGGGACTGCACAAACAGAACATCTTGATGTTATTATGGGATGCTGAACACTGATTTTTGTCCCTTCAGGAGATCGCGGTGCAGCAGATCATGACCCACTTGGACTCCATCAGGAAGGACATGGTGATCCTGGAGAAGAGCGAGTTCGCCAACCTGCGGTCCGAGAACACGGTACCATGTTTGTGTCCAACACAAAATCGGACCTCAGAACCAACTCAATTATTCTAGAATGTTCTGAGCCTCACTGGTTCAAAGTCTTTTATTTCTACAGAAGATGAAACGGGAGCTGGAGCAGTTTCAGAACCAACTCCAGGTGTGTGTGTGTGTGTGTGTGTGTGTGTGTGTGTGTGTGTGTGTGTGTGTGTGTTGGACTCAATTGTAAAAGTTTAACAGGAGGTTTGTTTACAGGAGGAAAGTCAGAAAGTCCGAGCAGAAACCAAACTGGACATCAACCTGGAGAGGAGCCGAATCTCTGACATGGTGTGTGTGTTCAATAGGATGAGTGTGTGTGTGTGTGTGTGTTAGACAGGTGATCAGACTCCTCTGATTGGTGCATGTCTGACAGTTCACTGAGCAGGAGAGGAAGCTGATGGAGGCCTCCTCAGAGTTCCACCACAAGGTAAACACAGCTGGGAAAACCAAATTCTGCTGTCTTTGTCTGATTGGCTGTTTCTGATGACATCATTTGCTCTCAGAAAGCCGACCTGGAAAATGACAACATGGAGATCAACAAGAAGATCGACCTACAGGTGGCGTCACTCAAAACCGTGCTGGAATCGCTGAAGCTGGAGACCATCCGATACCTGGCAGGTGGGTGAGGCAAGGGTGCCCCCAAGGGGTGGCCAGGGGTTGCCATTTTTAACACGGCAAAAGGTGAATTATCTTTAAAAAATACATTTTTAAATTAAATTTGGGATATTTTAAATAACTGATATGTATTTTTCTAAAATGTTTCTAAAATTTAAGTTAAATGTTTTGGATACACACAATGCAGCACATCGCCAGACTACATTCAACCAGTTACAAGGACCAATTTGGTGTGCCACCCCAAAAAGTTCTTTGGCCCCGTCTGGCCACCCCTATCAACATTTTCTGGAGGCGCCCCTGGGGTGAGGTTCTGGTGCAGTCTTTTCAGATGTTAACTGTGTGTTTGTTTCTAGCGACCGTGTTCTCCTGCCTCGCCATTGCTCTGGGAGTGTACCGGCTGTGGAGATGATGGGTGTGGGTCTACATCAGAACCGGGCTTCAGAATTCACTTTAATAAAACTGAAAATGATTCAGCAGGTTCTGATGGGCCAGTAAGACTGGTGCTGGTTCCATCAGGTGGGCCCCTTAAGATGACAAATGGTTCTGGTCCATCTGAATCAGATCATTATTCCTGAAAGTTTGGACCGCCCAGAGCCTTGCTGAGACGGCAGAACCACTCATGCCGAGTTAACCTTTCATCCTTTACCGCTGCAGAGACGTTGGTCTCCGGATATTAAATCAGTCGTGAAGAACCCGAAACGGGTTCTGGGAAGGGTGCAGCTTCTAGTTTCAGAATGTAAACCACAGTAAGCCTGAAAATAAACATTTAACTGGCACAGCGTATCGACTACGTTTCTCAGGCTGACCTGCAGCCATCAGAACAAAAACACAAACAGGAAGTCTGGATCCAACAGGACTTTATTTAAATCTGGAACCCAAATGACAACAAAACTGATTTAATTTCACACCAAAACCATTTTTGACGTTTTTATTGAAGCAAAACAAAAAACGGCGTCCTCAGCAGAGACGATTTGTCCCGTCTTCAGTTGTCCAATCAGATGCTGCTTACCTTCAACACCTGCAACTACTCTACCAATAAAACCAGCAGCTGAGCCACTCAATCACCTTTAGACCAGAGTTACAAAAAATACCATAATTTATAAATTAAATCATTTACAGCTCTGAGCAACGGAAACGCAGACCTCAAACGGCTGCAAAGAATCCAAATACCAAAATGTATTCAAGTGGTAAAATCCTCCTCATCGCCACGGAGACGAAGAGCAGCAGCACGTCACGCCGTGTTCTCCGACTTCACAGGGTCCGTTAAAACATCCTGACCCTGATTCTGATCCTCCTGAGGCAGCTCACATGACTCACTAGGTACTTCCTGTTTCACTGTGATGACATCACAGGAAGTCACCTTCTCTTCCTCCATCTTCAAGAAGGTGCCCAGTGGATGCTCAGTCAGCAGCTTGCTGGGTGATGGGGTGACGTCCAAGTAGGACGAGGTCTGAAGAGACAGAGGAGATGTCCACAGTGAGGATGATGATGATGAAGGAAAAGGGCGAAAAACAGCAGTCAAACTTACATTTTTGTAATCTTCAAAGCAGGCGGGGTGGAAGTTCTGTGGAGACAAATCAAACACCTGTTTACTTATTTTACTTCCTGTAACCCTAAACCACAACTGAAGGGGTGGAGCCTGACCTTCTCATCAACCCTGATGGCGTTCTTCAGGAACCAGTCCTCTTCTTCCTCAACCCAGTAGGTCTCAAACGATTCCTGGCAGATTTCACACAACTGGGAAAAAGAAAATGGTTCAAGTCGGTCAGGATGAGTCGTTTTACCGGGTCGGCACTAGCAGATCGACACAACGGGTCAGCTTAGTCTCACCTCCCCCACTTGGTCCTTGGCGGCTCTGACACTCTGGAACTCCTTCTCCTTGGCAGCTGCCTGGCTTTTCTGCACCTCCTCTTCATTCTCCTTCTCAAAAAACTGACTCTTGGCCCGTTCCTCCAGGTCAGCGATCTCCTCAAACTCGATCCAGTCCTGCAGAACAGACGATTTGTTTGGATCAGACTGGACTACTTTTCTGGTTTTATGCAGAACTGTATGCATGTCAGCCAATCAGAACCCTTTATCTAAACAGGTCAAGTTGGCATTTGTTCATAGTTACCATGGAGATGTGAACAGCTGCTGTATGCGAACTTACCGTCAGACTGTAGTACCAGCGGCGGTGTGTGACCTTCTTGCTGGCCACCTTCCCGGCGTGGTTCTGTCTGAAGTGCCAGTCCAGGTGGTCTGCGTACATGTCCGTCTGCGCGGTGGTGAAGCGCATGCTACAGAGACAGCACTGGTTCCCCGAGTACAGCTTTGTCACCACGCTCTCGTAGCGCCTGAAACATGAACAAACATGGCAGATGAGATCTGAGGTTGGACCAGAACCCTGGTCCAGTGAGCCATAACGCACTGCTTCATGTGTTCAATGCTGAAACTGGTCAGATCTGGGAAGTCATCCTCCTCCACCTCTGGCTCCTCCTCTTCCTCCTCCTCAGCAGGGGGCGCTGTGGCAACCAGAGTAAATTCTGCACAGAACAAAGAAATCAGCCAGGGGACTAGGTGGCATTGCACTGAGCAAGGGGTCAGCTGACTGACCGCTAGGCGTGGGTGCAGCGTCCACTTGAGACAGCGGTTTAATGATTCCGTTGGAGACGAGTTTAGAGAGCAGGTCGTTAACGTCTACCTGACCGAAGTGGTTCTCTGGAGGAGCCACAGGTTGAGCTGCAAATACAAAGCAACTGTTAGCTTCCTGCTCAGATCAAAGACATCACTTCCTGTTTCAGAAAAGTCTAGGGCTGTGTCTCAATTCAGGGTCTGCATCCTTCGTCGGCCGGTTACGTCACAGCGTCGCGACTAGGCCTGTCCCAATTCGAAGACTCCTTCAAATGCGGTCGACGAATCCGGCCTTCTTTTCGCCTGCATGAAGGATGGGTCCGGTGTATCCTTCAATGGTTTACATTTCCCAAGATCCCTTGTGGGTTGGACGGCAGAACTTTTAAAAACAATGGCGGACAGCGAAGCGAGAGCTGCCGGAGAGGATTACGCATATAAATGTCAGCATAAACTTAAAAACTGTTGGGTTAAGGGCTTTCTGTGACACATGAACGTTATTTTAGTTAGAAATGTTACAGTAAAAGTGCTTGTATTGCGGTCTCGGCTCGTACGTTCGGCCGCTCGGTGTCGTACTTCTCCCGCTACGTTTTCCCTGATTTTAATAGAAGTTTGTATTTTAGGGACAAAACGAGAAAACCACGGACTTTATTAAGCTTAGAGCGGAGATGGATCACATGTTCACTGGAGCTAAGTATTCGGCGGCTGTGGCATGGAGGTACAATAACATCTCATATTTTAAGTTTAGTTTTTTCTGCGAAAACATGAAAAGAATAACCCGTTGTCCTTTTACTCTAGATTTTCTCTTCCTGATTTATTTTTTTTACAAGTTTGTTAGGACTATTCTGGAGAAAATGGGCATCCAGGGGAAGGTGACAGCGATGACCAGCTTCTGGAGCTGATCAGGGAGGACATGAGGCTGCAGAGGGAGGCAGAGCAGCAGAGGGCACAGGAGAGAAGGGAGAACTTTGACAGGCTTGCTAGAAAAACTGGTTAATAAAGATTAAACATGTACATATAAAAGAAATATCTAAATAAAATCAGTTCTGCATTAAACTCTTGAATTTTATTTTGGTTTACAAATGAGAATTGTTTACTAGAGGGTATCTGCTGGGTCTTAAAGTCTTAAAAGGTGATAAATGGGTTTTGGTCAAATTAAGACCCTTAGAAAGTATTAAAAACTATTATCTTTGCTCAGGCTCAGCTTGTCGAAAGTATTTTCTCTGAATTAGCTCTCCAACAGTCAAGGAAATGATTAAAAAGCTAAATAAAACTTCGAGCTCCATCGTTTAAAGTTCCTTCTCCCTTCTGCTCGGCGGTTCCACGGTTGCTAGGTGACGGAACATTCGTCGAGGGAGAGGCGGGAGTTCATGAAGGCTAGGCCTGTCCAAATTCACAGCCGTTAACATCGGGTCTACTCGGCCGACGGAGGACCCAGCCCACGTCGGCCGAGTAGGCTGGGTCCTTCGAAGGATGCAGACCCTGAATTGAGATACAGTGCATGTCTGTGTTAGACAACTACACCGGTGTTCAGTCCCGGTGGTGCCTGTCGGAGCGCCCCAGGGCAGCTGTGGCAACAGTGTAGCTCATCACCAGGGTGTGAATGATTGTGTTGTAAAGCACCTTGTGGGGTTCTAGGACTCTAGAAGGTGCTATATCTCTCTCACACACACACACACACACACACACACACACACACACACACACACACACACACACACACACACACACACACACACACACACACACACACACACACACACACACACACACACACACACACACACACACACACACACACAGAGATGATGGTAACGACTCACTCTGCTGTCCATAAGGCCCAGGGTTCTGGGGCAGGAAGTTCTGGTTCATCATGTTCATCTGAGGATTAAACAGAAACAGACATCAGAACATGAACAGAACCATGTGGACTCAGAACCAGAACAGGAATAAATGGGCTCACAGGCTGCTGCTGGCCCATGGGGGGTGCCGAGGGGGTGAAGAAGGGTCTAGGAACCGAGTGGCTGAACGGCAGCGGCTGCATGTTGAAGCTTCCTGGCTGTTGCATGTTGGGACCCGTAGGGAACTGAGGGTTCAGAGGGTCCGGGAACCTCTGCGGGCCCATGTTGAAGTTCTGCTGAGAGGGTATGGAGTTGTCGTAGATGGGCGGGGCCATCGGCTGAACGGGGGCCTGAGGATTGTGTTGGACAAACCTGGGCCCCCCCTGCTGGCCAGGGGGATAATCAAAGCCTGCTGGTCCACCATGAAGAGGCCCACTGGGCAGGTCAAACCTGGGACCCGGCTGACCGGGCCCCTCAAACCTCAGGAGACCCATCTGGTTACCGGGGGGCTCAAAGCGGAGAGGCCGCTGTTGCTGGAAGCCCATTGAACCGGGTCCTGCATTGTTGAAGTGTTGTATAGGGCCCTCTAAGGGGCCTGGCCCTAGCAGGGGACCCTCAAATGTGACAGGGGGCTGCGGGTCCATGGGACCCCCAAACCTGACTGGTCCCTGAGGGGACCCATCAAACCTTCCCATCCCATCTCCTCTCACTGGACCATGAGCCATGTGGTGCCCTTCACAAGACCCAGAGCCGTCAGTGTTCTCCACTTGATAAGGTGGCCCCCCACCATCAAACCTGCTGGGACCTGGATGTTGGGGCCCTTCAAACTGAGGATCATTATAGCACCCAGGGGGGGCACCACCCTCAAACCAGCCAGGCCGGGACCTGGAGGGGCCCATGTGTCCAGGTCCACTGTACCGAGAGGGGGGGTGGTTGGCTTCATGAGGAGGGGTAAGTCCTGGGGAGTCTTCGTGCTGTTGAACAGAGGGCAGCGGGCCCCCGCGAAGCAGAATGGGTTTGTGAGGAGGATGAGAATGGGGGACGTCCAGGGGTCCATCGTCCGAGTGCTCGCTGTTAGGACTCTCAAAGCGTGGGATCGGACTCGAGTCTGCAGTGTCTTTCTGATGGAGAGGGGACAACCGCTCTCGCTCAAAGCGAGGAAGCGGAGCCTCCGGACCAACAGAGCTGGAAGAGTTCCGGTGAACCCCCGTCCCAGAAGGCCCCTCCTGTCTGCGTTGGTCGGCAGAGGTGGGGTACCTCCGCGGAGCATCGTAGCCGCTCTTCTGCTCCTCTCGGTCATCATAGAGCTGGCGCTCCGTCAGCGGTGAGGTCCACTCTCGTTCACCTGGAAACAGGTAAAGAAGTTCTGTGAAATCCTGCTGGTCCCTGAACTCATCACCTCCTTGCCACTGATCTGGCTCACTAAAGCCTGGGGTGCACCGGAGTCGGTCGCCGCATCCCAGAAGCGCCGAGGCACTGAAGACAGGCCCAGTTCCATCTCAAGCGTCGCGGTGTGGCTGTTTGTAACATTATGGAGTATTTTATAACTGACATCATCACACTGAGCAGCTTTACGGTACAAACCCAGCTGCAGTTTTGATAACTTAAGTACTAATGATCTTCAAATATTCTAACAAATAGCGTCCTTACCCACTCTCACAAAACACAACAGCGGGTCTGATCACTTCCCACCTCCTGTTCTCAAGTCCCGCGTGATGTGACTATCGCGTGACTTTCCAAGAAACGCTCAGCGGCGCGTCCGCCTCTGGTGTGCCCCAGGCTTGACCCTGCTGAGAACCTGACCTCTCAACCATCTAAGCAGACTAACGTTTGTCCACGAGATCCAAGAACTTACTGGACTCTCTGGGATCAGCTCTCCTCCTGAAACGGAGACCCTTCAGCTTGGGGAACTCCTTGCCGTGGTTGTAGTCCTCAATCATGGGGGCAAGAGCGGGTCTCGACTCGTCGTGTTCTTTACTCCTCCTTTCACCTGTCAATCACGACACATGTCAGTGACACAAACAGAGGACACCTGTCCAGTGGGTCTGTGTTCTCACCTGGCCTGTCCTGGGGCCCTCGGCTGTACCGATGTGATGGAGGGTTCCCGGAAATCAGGTCTGATGTCTTTTCGCCTTGTCCCATTTCTGTGCCATCCTCCTGGGACTCCTGCGTCTCCTCTCCCATGACTCGGTGGTTGACCCGCGTTGTCCTCAGCTTGGACTTGTGTTCATAGTAAGACAACTCTGCGGGGTCCATGGCTTCATGCGGGTGAGACTGAGCAGAGGGGGGCGAGCTCAGCAGGGAACGTTTCTTGACAGGGAACTCTCCTGGTCCCTCCCAACCCTTGGTGCGCTGCTGCTTCTCCTCCTGATACTGAAAGAAGTGTTTAATCTGATGGGCCATGTTCAGGAAGTCCTCCAGGGAAATCTCACCACTCTCCAAACGTCTGCTGGCCTGATGGAACACAAAGAACACAGAGGCAAATCAAACAAGAGAAAACGACCAATGACCAGTCCTGGTCTCCATCTGCAAAGAGAACTTGGTGAACACACCCTTTGCAGAAGGTCCTTCTTGGAGGCAGAGTTGAGAACCTCAGGGATCTGCAGGTTGGCGTCCACACTGAGGCGATGCTTTGGGTTGCGGGGGGTACTGGGTCGGGTCGGGGTGCTGTAGGACTTGTGTCTCTGGGGTCCAGCCTTCGTGTGAGGATCTTCTGATGGTTTAGGGCTGAACACACACAAAAACATTGACTGATTATACAATGGAAACACCCCCCATGCCGTCTCTCGCTGAACTCAAGTCCAGTGGGCAGTTCCACCCACCGCTATCTTGGCTGCATCACATGCCTCATCACTCCCGGAAACTCCCAGCTGTGAGGCTGAGGGCAGAAGATTGACGACTAACAAACTTAGCCCATGTAGCTACAAGGTAACCGAGCTAACGGAGGTCAGCAGGAGCCTTTAGCCAGCGGCTCTGCTGCTGGCACTGACGGCTCAGATAGCTGCCAACCAAAAGGACACGGCCCTAATTCATAACTTCAAGCTTTAATTACATTGATATGTTGTTGTCACAACGGTAAACTAGATCTATTAAACCTGAGATGCTTTTGTTACCAAGCTGTAAACATGCTCATTTGGTAAAACCAGGTGTCACCAGAACCAACACTACAAACTCACTGTTTGTTCTCCTCCCAGCCGCTCCTCCAGCGATGCGCCTCCTTAGCTTCCTTGCTTCCTCCTTCATGACTGCGTGGAGAGTCTCTGGACTGAGAGTGGTGGTCCTCCACCAGCCTCTTTGGCCTCCTCTCAGATTTGTTTTTCTTGAGCCCGAGGCGTTCGTCCCGGCCTGGCTTGCCGTGCTGCAGGTCACCTGCTCTGATCCTTTGAGGCTTGCCTGGTTTGTGGGACGGGGAAGGGGAGCGGCTCCGGGTTTTGCTCTTAGGTGAGCGCCTGTCCTTTCTCTTGGGGGAGCCAGCGGGTGAACGTGATCGGGTTCGTTTCCTTGCGTGAGTTCGTGCGTTTCCTCCGGTTTTGAAGTCTGGCCTTTCACTGGACTCATTGCGGTCATGTGTGACCACAGAACCATTTACCAGTTTGGTCTTGCTGACCCTTAAGGAGTCTGGTCCCCGGGGAGCCTCCTCCCGATCCTTCTTGTCACTGCAGCGTTTCTTCTTCTGTTCGTCTTCTCTGGACATCCCCGCCTTGTCCTGAGGTCGTTTCTTCAGCCTAGGATCCTTTCTTGGGCCATCTGTGGATTTTTGAAACTTGGCTTCCAGTTGCTTGTTTTGAATGTTGAGACTTCTGGCCAGTGGAGACGGAGACTTGGACTTGTCATCTGAAAAACCCTTCCTCGTCCCAGGTTTGTCCAGCTGGGTGGGTTTCTCTGGCAGTCTCCTTTCAGGAGGAAGAGCAGGGCTCTCCCTCTTTACAGCCAACTGCTCTTTAGGCTGGGGGGCAGCTGGGGGGACGACACGGGTAAGACGGGGGTCTCTGTTGGAAGGTTTAGGGTCAGGCTGAGGCTGGGGGGGGACCCAAGGTCGGACCACAGTATCAGGCTTCGGCAGGCTGCTGGATGCTGTTGGTGCTGGGGAGATGAATCCAGCCTGCAAACACAAAAATAACTGTCAGGTCCAATTGGGTTCCGTCAGACCCAAGCACAAAGCCGTCGGGTCCAGAAGCTGAACCGGACTCGGGTCTAAATGAAACAGACCTGTCCCATCAGCTGTGCTTTGGTCTGCTCCAGCTCCAACTCGATCTTCTTCTGCTGAAGCTCCAGAAGCTGCTTCTGTTTGGCCAGCAGCTGCTGCCGGATCAGCTGCTCCTGGGTCAGGCTGGACTGGCTGATGACCGGAGCTAGCTGGGAAGCGGGCTTAGGGACAGGGGTCACTGCAGGAGGATGGGTGGGGGCTGCCTTTGGAGAGGACGCCTCCTCAGACTGAAGAATAAGAGAAAAAGACTTTAACATTTAGAAATCCTGAAGGTTTTCTTTTAGTCAAAACAAGAATTTAAAAAGATCTGATCATCTTAAGGATTTTCAGCAGCTGCACAAACCCTGAACCATCTCACAGTTAAGGAAGGGGACAGCTTGAGACAACAGCACTTCCACAAGACGACATTTTCCATTTAGATCAGTGAGTCATAGCAACCAGATCTAGTCTCCTGTTCGGATTCAACCATGGAGACCAGCCAGATGTGACCACACACACACACACACACACACCTGCTTTAAGAACTTGGGGTTGACATGAATGGCGTTGGTGGGCGACGGCAGTGGCTTGATAGGCCAGGCCGGGTCCAGGGAGTTGACCCGGACATCTAGAGCGTACAGCTTCTTCAGAGGGAACACTTCGTCCCATGTGGAGCGCAGCTTGAACAGACTCTTCCTGGTGTTTTCATCTACCTAAAAACAAAGGACACGTCTTGATCCACAACACCTGTTCCTCACTCATTTCCTGGTTTTATGAACAGAACTATGATGTTGGAGCAGCAGGAGGCTTAACAGCAGAGCAATCATTACAAACAGGAAGTGATAAACAGCAACAGAGACAACTGTACCTTTTCAAAGACACAAATAAATGAAGTGATTAGGTTTTTAGCAAACACTGCAAGGTACTCTCCTCCAACATTCTTCACTATGGAATCCACTAAGTACAAAACCGGAAGCTTCTCCATGGTTGGGGCCTGGAGCAAGAGAACTCAACAAGTTTAGAAAACAACAGGGGTTAAAGCAACATTTCAGAACAAATCACAACTTCTAGTCCCATCACATCCAGAGGAAAGGTTAGGAAAGCCAGATTAGTCAGGTAAACGGAAAAAAATTGTCCTTTTTCATGGCTGGATCACAACCCGGCCTTGGAATGTCCAAAAACATCTTCAAATCATCCCATCTGCTCGGATGCTCCGTGGACCAGAATCCTTCCACAAGACAAAAACACAAGAGTCCAAGATCCACCAAGGGTCCAAAACCCGGTGTAATCCTCTAGAAGCGCTTTACCTCCAAAGAGGGCTTTCATCTGGGCCCTCTTTGTACTTTACCCAGACGACTCGGCCCAGTCAGCAGTTTTACCCTTTAGGTTTTTGTTTGAATATAAAAATCTGAAGCTTGAGGACCCATTAGAGGTTAGAACCGGTCTGTGGGCTTTAGGTTGAACGAGCAGTCGGAACGGGCTGCGTCAGTTAACCAGTCATATCAAGAAATTACACCGTAAAGAAAAAAATGACAAAAAGCACATTTCACATTTTTTATTATCAACATTTTAACCATTCAGTCACATTTCAGGAAATCAAGGTTCACGAGTTAATTCATGCAGAGCTGTGCTCGGGTGTCGACACCGTTTAACACATTTCAAACACTGATGTGGTCCGGCTTCAATCAGATCAGAACCAGAGATCAGCTGAAAGGTTCGGTTACTGCTCTAGCTGCGGGTCTGAACCGTTTTAGAAGTTCTGATCCACTTACCAGATTTATTTACTTTAATGACTTTAACACTACAGAGAAATCAGAGTTAGGAAATATTTAATGTAAACATCAATAAGATTTATTATGACATCTTCAGGACTTCCAGATTTCTAACTGAATAAATGGTAATGTTTCCTTCCTGCTTCTTTGGGACTTAACATTTATTTATGCAAAAGTGAAGCACAGTTTATCTGAAGTTAAACTTAAACACTTGCTATAAATCTAAAATCCGAAAGCCTGACTCCAGGTGTGTCGTCTTACTCTGCAGCTTAACTTTATTAAATGTAAAGTTCAGGCTTGTGAGAACACGCGGAGCCATTAGGTCAGGTTTAAACTACTCCCGTTTGGACCTTCGCGGTTCCTAGCTTCATCTTTCTGCTGACGCAAGGCAGCCACGGTGACGGGAGGGTTTAGCTGCGTCTGGGAAATCCAAACTAAACCAGGTTGTTACGTTATCGGTCCTCAAATGCACAGATAATTTCAGTTATACTTAAAAAAAAACAAATATATAAACACTCATGAACCCGGGTGTACCGGACACAGAGGCGTCTGAGCTAACAAACAGCTAGCTTTAGCCTCACTGTCGTTCACCCCAGTGAACTGGAGTGGACCCGAACACTGGTCTGTTGAACCCGAGACCACATCAAGGTAAAACTGCGACGACTTTCGGATACAACATGCCTAATATAAATAACTTATTCTGGTTAAACTAAAGCGACTGGGTTTGTTTCATACAGAGGTGGAGTAAAAAGACGGCGCTGCGCGTTGCCAACAACATGACGGCTAACGCCATGTTAGTTTCCACCACACATTCAGAAGCTGAAATATAAAGTATGCTATATTCATAAAAACCTTGCTTATTTGCGCTTCAATAATTGCGACGATATCCTTGGCGAACTGGACGTTCTCTTCAGCCAGGATAGTGAGCATGTTGATGTGCGGCTTGCTGTTGAACGTCAGGTCTTCCAGAGAGGACTGGTACTCTCGACAGGCGTCTTCCCTCGCCACCGCGTCGTCCATCTTCGAGCTCAGCGACCCGGAGAAACCTACTACAGTATGATCGGTACCATCACCACTCATCAGCAAAGAGTCCATTAACACATTAGATAACCGTTTTGTCGCAGGTGAGAGAAACTCCGCCGGGTTTGGTTTATTTTTCATCCGCTGTCGAGCCGTTCTGTATCTACTCGGATGACAAGAAAATGGCGACTGAAGGTCTCCTACGTCATAAGAAATAAATTTATAGCTGCCGTTACGTTTGCGTCATGTCATTGGCTGGTTCCAGATGGGCCTCTTCATGCCTCAGAGTGTGATTGGCTCAATGGAGTAACAGACAGAAGAAAGAGCCAATGAGAACGAGGTATTTGGAGGGAACGGTTACATAAGAAACGGGAAACCGTCAGTTTACCCGACACGAGGCTAGCGCGTGGTCTCTCAGCAGCCGGAAGTCAGGCCTGACAGGTCCTTAACTGCACCCCGACTCACCTGGCAGGTTGAACGCCTATTAAGGCAGAACCATAGACGAGTTTATTTAAAGGCTAATCTTGATGGTTTATTTTAAACTGGACTTTTCCAAACATATAATAAATCTAGACTGGAACTATATTCCATAAATTTAAAAAAGGAATTTCCGTACAATCCAGCCCAGGACTAGCCTGGCAAGCCAGACTAAATAAATGCATTATTTATTTATTTGCAAAGCAAGAATTTGGTCTAGTTCACTAGGCTAGCCCAGGACAGCAGATCCCTTCTTGTTCATCTCTTCCCATTTCCCTTTCTAGCTGCTGGAACTTCCTGTAATCAGTAAAAGTTATTCTAATGTTTTAAACTCTGACAGGCAGAAAAAGGTTCCTAACTCAAGGGGTGAACCAGAGCTTTGTGAAACAGAAATGTCTTTGCGTCTTTGGTACCAGCATCCTGTCTTGGAAACCCAGTCTGGTTCTGGTTCTTTGGTCAAATCTAAAAAGACCAATGAGAACTCAATCGGACACTAATTGCAACGGGTCATTCCCAATCAGCTGAATGGAGCGCTGCTCAGGTGCAGTTATGTTTTAAATGTTCTGATGGAAGGAAAGTTCTGAAACACCACATTGAACCTCAGCTGGAATAAAGCCAAACTGAGATTCTGGTATCGTGCACATCATGACAGAGAAAAAAGACTCAGAACCTGCAGATAAAACTTCAGCCTGATCTTTAATGAACCCGAAACACTTTGGGTTAAAACTGAAACTCGCGGCCGTATGGCGTCCGTGCCGAAGGAGAACGAATCGTTTCACACAAACTGATTAAAAAACAAAAACACTGTCAGATAGGAAGTCCATGGTTCTCTTTGTGAATCTCTTCCAGGTGAATGTTTCTGAGAGAAGACACTCCACTTTGGATCAGATCTGTTATTCATCCCGTAGTGTTGGCTGCGTCTGATAGGAGGCAGCGATCTGACGCCGGGCCTGATGGGAGATTCTATCAGCAAACAAGCAGCTTTAGAGTTCAGCTTCAGGAATGATTAATGATGAAGCAGATCAACGTCCTTTTCCCATGATGCGCTGCTCCATCCTGACTGTAATCAGGAGAAATGGAACGTGGGTCAAGCTTCAGACGTCCGAGTCGTCGGTGCTGTCGCGGCTGATCTCGATCTGCAGCGAGGGCAGGTGGTCCAGCCGGCTCTTCTTCATCTTGTGGGTCAGTCGGTCCTGTTTCTGTTTGATCATGGCACCCCACATCCTCTGTAGCTTTGAGTCATCCTCCTCCTCCACTTCCCGCTCGCCTTCACCTCGTCTCCTCCTGCTTCCATCCTGCCGACCCGGCGCCGAGGAGAACAGCCCCTCGGAGCGCCCCTGCTCCCGGCGCTTGCTGGGGGCGTCGTCTCCGTTGCTTGAGCCCAGTCTGCTCCACAGGCTACCTGCAGACACAAACAGGAAGTTAAAGTCAGCTCATCTGTGACCTTGTTCACAACTGAAGTGGGTCAGAACCAGGTGAACTCCGGTGATGAGACTTCAGAGCTGAACGTACTCGTCTTTCTGTCTCTGACAGGTTTGGAGTAAACGCTTCTGCTGTCCTGGTTGGCCACACCCAGTCTGCGGTGTACATCACTGACAGGCTCTCTGACCGGGGGCGTGTCTTTGGGGGACAATGGGGAAGGGGAGGATCGTTCGTCTGGAGAGTACCGTCTTTTTCCGAGTCGCTGTCGGACATCTGCAGACAGTTCCAGAATCAGAGGGGCCCAAAAGGAACATCTGGATTAACACCAGGATCCACCTGTACCAGCTCACCTGTCTTTCCACTGCTAGCCACAGGGGGGCGCTCTCGGTGCTGAGACGCACCCTGTCGCTTCTCCTCAAGCAGCTGCCGGACATCCGTCACCTTGGCGGGAGACGAGGACTTGGTCCTGCTTTGTGATCCAGAGGCTCCGATCCGGTTCCTGTCAGAGACAAGATTGTTCAGATGGACTTGGATTTGACCCCAAATTCACAGAATCCTGATTCCATGAGAAGTGAGACAAGTAAAAAAAAAGGTGAGACAGGTGAGCGTCTCTGACCGGATGGTCTTCAGCTGAGTCTCCAGCTCGTCAGCGTACATGGTCATCTTCTTGGTCTTCTTGGGTGATGGTGTGGAGATCATCTTCAGCTCCAGGTCGTAGTCCATCTCATCCGACTCCGACCATGGAGACGGGGAGCGCTCTGCTCTACTGCAAAGCCCTGCCCCCACCGTCCTTGAGTCTCCGCCCCTTTCCTTGTACTCCACTACCCTGTCATCCGAGTCCATGTCCTCGTCTTGGTCCTCCTGCTCTTCTTCTTCCTCCTCCTCCTCTTTGATGGGCTCCTCGGGCAGGTTGACCAGGTCAGCTGAGGGACAGGAAGCAGAGGATTGTGGGTAAGAGGATGAGATAATTAACAGCTGACTGGTGTGTGACGTGATCAAATCAGATGGACAGAAAGCAGTTTCCCTCCTGATAAATAACAATAATATCCTTTATTTCCTGTAGGTGGTGCGGCTAAACCTGGGTGGTGTGGGGTTGGGGAGGTTAGCTTGGCGCTGCACTGGCAAAATCATCACTGTGGGTCGAACCGCGGTCCGACCAAACGGAGGCCGCCCTCTACGGGGAGCCTGGGCTGCTAACTGGGGACCTTCTCAGTGGCCTAGTGGTATCCGCCCTGGGACTTGGAGATCGGGGTTCAAATCCCAGTCGGGTCATACCAAAGACCAACACTGGGACCCAACGCCTCCCTGCTTCACGCTCGGCTTTAAAGGCTTGGATTGGGGGGGTTAAGCCACCAAACAGCCACCGCTCCCCACGGGGATGGGTCAGATGTGGAGATGTAACGTCACCAGAAAGGAAACTGAAATGTAGCCGCTGTCAGTAACTAACACATTTAAAACATTAAAACTGACTAAACGGTTGAAAAAATACAAAAATATCTCCTATTTCTTATCCTTAGAGGTTATTGCTCAGCCTTCTGACAGTCACGCTCACACAGACGAGTTTATTGATGCTCCTCGTTTTTATTTCTGCAGTGAGCCTTAAAATCTCGCCTCACTCCGTCCAGAACTCGTGTTAATGCATTTATACAAGCCGAAGTGTTCATAACTCCATCTCTCTCATGGAGTGAACGTGTGGCGGACATGTTTGTTTACATTTTTGCTGCTGTGTGCCTGAACAGTGGGACAGATAAGTGATGAAGCAAGTTATGCTTACGAACTGATAATAAATATGTTGCTGGTTCCTGTACAACACTGAGAAAACAAATCCTCTTCAGGACGTTCCATTTACATATGAGCCATTTTTAGTAATCCTCAAACTTGTTCATGTCCCTCTTTTTTTTACAGAACAGAGAAAATTCTGACAGTCACAGAAATAATTACAAAACTCTAAATATGACAAATACAATTTGTTAAATTATAATTAAGCTAAAATAATTAGGAAGCCTTACTGTCATTGTACAACGGTACCATAAAACTCTGTTGGCATCTGAAAGTGTATGATTGCACGGGTTTAGGTGCATTCAGAGTGGTGAATACTTGGGCAAATAAACTAATCTTGAGCCTTGAAAAAACCTTTGCTTTTGGTTGAAAAGAATAATAAGAAAAAGAAAACAAATAAACTGTCCAAGACGAGTCAGAACACCTGTCAACAGGTGCGTCTGAGCCACAGGAATCATCTAGCTGCAGAGGCTGTTCAACAGCTTTAGTTTCTGGGTCCATCATGCTTGATTTTAAATATTTCTGTTGAACCACAGTTTAAAAGTGATGTCATGAATTTCACTACGTTTGGATTCATTAGAACTTTTGTTATTTGTACATATTTCAGTGACGGCCGTTCTTTTGTCTTTAATGGGAGGGTATGGGATAACTTGAGAATGAATAAAATTATGAAGCTACCGTATTTTCCAAATTATGAGTCGCACTTTTTTCATAGTCTGGCTGGTCCTGCTGCTTATATACCAAATAATATACACCACGCTGCTGCGGGCCGGCTCCGGACCTGGGGGCCTCATTTATCAAGCTTGCTTACGCACAAAATGAGGACGGAAAACTGCGTGAGCAACTTTCCACGCAAACTTTGGGATTTATGAAAGAAAACTTAGCGAAAAAATGTGCGCAACTTTAAGTTGACTAAGGACCTGACTTACACACATGTTGGACATGGAGAGCACCTGCAGTGCTGCTGCTGAGAAGGACAAAGTTATGAAATCCTGCAGCATTATCACTTGTACTGCTTCGTTTTCACACAGAACAAGACCCCCACACGCACACACACACACACACACACACCCTGAAGCGGAGAATACGGAATGCAGAATATCAGCAGGGGGACAGATTGAGACAGAATGTCATGCGTCTGTGACAGTGTGTGTCCTGTCACTGTGACCTGATTGATCATGCGCCCCGGCTACTTGGACAAGGGAGATCTCTGTTTGGCTGACTGGTTAGCATGTGTGACTTTCACCTTGGAGTCTAGGGATCGAATCCCTATTGGACCATGTTTTTTATATCCGCCACAGATCTCTCTGAAGAATTCACAACATTGACGGCTTCAGCAACGCTGTGCCACTCCGTGGATTTTCATTATTTGTTTTGCAAAAGCACTTCCTTTCATTTCTCCACCTCACCCACAGGTATCTCAATTTCTGCTTCTGTGAAATTGTGCTTCCTTGATCTGCCTTGATCTACGGTCGCCTTTGGCGGAGCGCTGCAACAAGGCACTTTGCATTGACTATATGGCAGTAAGTGGGCGTGGTGAGGGCGGGATGTGACTAAAAAGCAGCTGAGAACCTTTCTAGATAGTTTCTGATTTATGAAGCGGAGATTGCGTGCAGCTGTGCGTGCTCCATGTTTGATAGATCACAAACCTACTTGGCGTAAGTACTTTTTTTTTTGCTGAGGTTTTAGTAAGGATTCTACGTAATGTTTGATAAATGAGACCCCAGGAATGAGCTCCCCCGTCCCGCTGGGAGGGTTTGAAACACCGCCATCCTCTGCTGGAGATTGTGGTATGCTGCTGCACCCTGATTGTTTATTCTGTTATAGTTAACGGTACTTGTCTTGCAATGTGAAATGCTTGGTCACAGATTTTGTAAGAAAAATAATAAAATTTCACCCCAAAAATGCGACTTATATATGTTTTTTTTCCTTCATTATACATTTTATGGCTGATTCGATTTATACTCCGAAAATACGGTAATAATCCTAAATATATTGACTACATTACATGATTTTTTTCCCACGTGTTCGTCATCCAGAGCACATCAACTTCTCTGTTAGTTCCTTTTATGATAATTATCCCAGCCCATTCGCTTTCTTTGTAGCACAACTTTATTGACACTTTATAAATAAGAATGATGCACAAACCGGAATCATCACAGCTGCTAAAAAAAACAAATGCCTTTTTTTTTTTTTACCTTTTAAGTAAAATTAGGATCCGGGGCTTTTCAGAAAACATCCCGACCCCGTGGTGCTGCAATACAGCCCTCGGGGAATCTGAAGGCTGCGAAGTAGGAGCGACAGGTAGGTGGTATGCCCGGCTCTGAAAGGCGTTGATCAGAATTTGCAGATACATTTTTTTCTCCATGGAGATTGGCCGCTCATTCACTGAGAATCATATTTAGGAATTAAAATATAAAGATTTGAGCAAATCCAGGAAGAACTGACGGTACCGGTTCCAACCGATGCTCGATGCCCAACCCTACACTGACTGATCAAAGGAACCCCGACATGTTGAATGACTAGCCTGGCCTGCCAGACTCGTCCTCTGTTTAATTCTGCACAGAGAGAGTCTGGTAACTCACAGGCAGAGTGGCACATGGGGGGCGGGACAAGCCAGCTCAAAAATAACCAATCAGGAAAAAGACAGAAATGCAGACTGTACCGCGTGACGCTGTAGTTTTTTAGCTGTGGTCAAAAATAGCGTCTGACAACGGAGAAGACATCTTTCTTTAGAAGAAAGGCTTTTAGCACTTCTACTTGTTGTGGTTTTAAAGACATGTCCAAGTCACTTGGAACAGAGGAAAGAGCCGCAGCGAACTCCACTTCAGTCGCCATGTTAATTACAAACTTGGCGTTGTGGTGTGTGACGTACACTACTCAGCGCTGATTGGCTCGGTTAGAATTCTCAGGGGGCGGGGTCATTTGAATAGGAGAGTTCCCAGATCCTTTCTCTGTGCAGAATTAACCAGAGGAGGAGTCTGGCAGGCCAGGCTAGGGAATGACCTCTACGCGTGAATGCCTTAATCAGCCGATTTAGACTCCATGATAAAAACCACGTTTCAATTTCATCAGCTCTATTGTGTTGTTACCTGAGTGTCGGTGTGTGTATGGAGGTGTGTGTCCCATGCTGTCTCCAATCAGAGGTTTCTTGCTCTTGATGACGTCTCTTTGTATGCGGCGGTTGTGATACCTCCTCTTCCTGGAAACACACACACACACACACACACACACACACACACACACACACACACACACACACACACACACACACACACACACAACTCATCATCTACACAGGATTACAGACACCAGACTCATCAAGGGCGGTGGGTCCCGGGTCAGTCCGGAAGAGTTAGAAATCCTGACTACAAGATTCAGCTGTGCTGGTCGAACTAGCCACGCTCCATTGTAGACTCAGCAAGTCTACCGTTGGCCAATCAGCGCACTCTACGTTTGCTTGGTGGGCTTAGCACCAGAGTAGTGAGGGAGAAAAACTACAAAGATGGCATCAGCTCAGAACAAATGGCTTTGGCATTAACTTTGGACTATTTACTACTCGTCTTTGCAGCAAAATCGGCCGGTGGGCAACTTTAATATATATTTGATCTTGCGGGCCAAATAAAAATAGACTGCGACCCAAATTTGGTCCTGAGGGCCTTAGTTTGGCACCTGTGGTCTAAAGAAACAAATATGATTTTGTAGTTCAAACAGAAATGCTAAATCGTCGTCGTCGTCTTCCTCCGCTTATCCGGGTCTGGGTCGCGGGGGCAGCATCACAACTAGGGAGCTCCAGACTGTCCTCTCCCAGGCCACCTCCACCAGCTCCTCCGGCAGGACCCCAAGGCATTCCCGGACCAGATTGGAGATGTAACCTCTCCAACGTGTCCTGGGTCGATCCGGGGGCCTCCCCAGGGAGGCATCCTGACCAGATGCCCAAACCACCTCAACTGACTCCTTTCGATCCGGAGGAGCAGCGGTTCTACTCCGAGTCCCTCCCGAATGTCAGAGCTCCTCACCCTATCTCTAAGGCTGAGCCCGGCCACCCTACGGAGGAAACTCATTTCGGCCACTTGTATCCGCGATCTCGTTCTTTCGGTCATTACCCAAAGCTCATGACCATAGGTGAGGATTGGGACGTAGATCGACCGGTAAATCGAGAGCCTGGCTTTCTGGCTCAGCTCCCTCTTCCCCACGACAGATCGGCTCAGCGTCCGCATCACTGCAGACCCTGAACCAATCCACCTGTCGATCTCCCGATCCCTCCTACCCTCACTCGTGAACAAGACCCCAAGATACTTAAACTCCTCCACTTGAGGTAGGACCTCTCTCCCGACCCGGAGTTGGCAAGCCACCATTTTCCGGTCGAGAGCCATGGTCTCAGATTTGGAGGTGCTGATCCTCATCCCAGCCGCTTCACACTCGGCCACAAACCTACCCAACAAGAGCTGAAGGTCAGAGCTGGATGAAGCTAGGAGGACCACATCATCCGCAAAAAGCAGAGACAAGATTCTCCTGCCACCAAACTCGACACACTCCACACCACGGCTGCGCCTAGAAATTCTGTCCATAAAGGTAATGAACAGAACCGGTGACAAAGGGCAGCCCTGGTGGAGTCCAACCCTCACCGGGAACAGGTCCGACTTACTACCGGCTATGTGGACCAAACTCACGCTCCTCTGGTAAAGGGACTGAATGGCCCTTAACAGAAAGCCACCCACCACATACACCTGGAGCGTCCCCCACAGGGTGCCCCTGGGGACACGGTCATAAGCCTTCTCCAAATCCACAAAACACAGGTGGATTGGTTGGGCAAACTCCCATGCCCCCTCCATCACCCTTGCAATGGTATAGAGCTGGCCCACAGTTCCACGGCCAGGACGAAAACCACATTGCTCCTCCTCTATCTGAGATTCAACTATCGATCGGACCCTCCTCTCCAGTACCTTTGAGTAGACCTTTCCAGGGAGGCTGAGGAGTGTGATCCCCCTATAGTTGACTACAAAGTCTATCATCGACCTGCGACCTAGGCTGCCCTGGTACCAAGTGTACTGATGGGCATCCTTATGTTCGAACATGGTGTTCGTTATGGCCAAACTGCAGCTTGCACAGAAGTCCAATAATGAAACATCACTCGAGTTCAGATCAGGTGGGTGTTCTTCCCAATCACACCCCTCCAGGTCAAGCTGTCATTGCCCACGTGAGCATTGAAGTCCCCCAGCAGGACAATGGAGTCCCCTGATGGAGCACTATCTAGCACTCGTCCCAGGGACTCCAAAAAGGGTGGGTACTCTGAACTGATATTTGGTCCATAAGCACAACAACAGTCAGGACCCATTCCCCAACCCGAAGACGCAGGGAAGCTACCCTCTCGTCCCCCGGGGTAAACCCCAACACACAGGCAGAGAGTCTTGGGGCTAACAAAAAGCCAACCCCAGCCCTCCCCCTCTCACCCAGAGCCACTTCAGCAAAGGAGAGTGTCCACCCCCTCTCAAGGACTTGGGTTCCAGAGCCAATGCTATGTGTCGAGGTGAGTCTGACTATATCTAGCCGGTATCGCTCAACCTCTGCCACAAGCTCCTGCTCCTTCCCCGCCAGCGAGGTACGTTCCATGTCCCAAAAACCAGTTTTCTTGTCCGGGGATCGGACCGCCAAGGCTCCCGTCTTGGTCTGCCACCCGATCCACACTGCACCGGACCCTTCATGTTCCTCCTGCGGGTGTTGGGTCCACAGTTGGATGAGCCCATGTATCCGGTTCGGGCTGGGCCCGGCCGGGCCCCATGGGCGAAAGCCCGGCCACCAGGCGCTCGCTCACGGGCCACAACCCCAGGCCTGGCTCCAGGGTGGGAACCCGGTAACCCTCCGGGCCGGGTACTCCGACTCTTTGAATTTACATCCATGAAAGATCCTCTGAACTGTTCTTTGTCTCACCCTTCACCTAAGACCAATTTGTCATAGGAGACCCTACCAGGGGCACAAAGTGCCCCAGACAACATAGCTCCTAGGATCATTAGGGCACTCAAACTCCTCCACCACGATAAGGTGACGGTTCTAGGAGGAGAGCAATGCTAAATATGTTTGTTTATATTTGAGAACATTACCTGGTGTCCGGTTGAAACTGGTATTGTTTCACGAGTATTCACATTGGTTTTCTCAGTAAAAGAAAATTTAAACATTGATATATTCTGCTTTTAGTTACTGACAAAATCGGTATCAGCAAGTCAGGTTTTTCTCCAGAATGGTGCACGCCCAGTTAAAACAGCCTCATACGAACGTATCCTTTACAGGTTGAGTAATAAAGGGGTGGCACGGCACCATCCTGGGAATCATTCAGGTCAAATACTCATGCTTTGTGACCCTCGGTGTTTGATGATTCCAGGATTTCTGACTCTTATCATTTATTGTTCAGTCCTTATTGTTGTACCTGTTATCATTGTTGTTACTAATATTGTTATTACAGTCATTGTTATTTTCCTTGATTATGATTGTTCTGCAGTTCCTGAGGCCGTTTTTGTTCTGTAAAGATTATGTTTGTTTTGTGTCGTGTACCGAGAGAACTTTCAATAAAAACTTGATTCATTAAAAAAAATGAATATACTCACCAGGAGTTACTGAGGATTCCCTTCATGCCTCCATAGTTGGGGTTTCCATACTTCATGTAGTACCTGCTGCGGCGAGCCGCTCCCAGCTCCTTCTTATCATCTGGACACAAACGTGAGATAATTCAGACATCGTGTGACTCCAGCTCCCGGACCGACCATCAGACCCGTTTAACTCCTGCACAGAGGCGCTTCTAACCCTCAGTACTGATGCAGGGTTTACAGATTACAACAGGAACCTGGTAGTCACACAAACTCAAAGGTAACAGAGGGATTCACGAGTGGAACCAGAACCAGGTTCAGCTCAGGTGTTTGACCAGCAGATAAATCAAATGACCTGCACTTGTATAGCGCCTCTCAGAGTAAGGACTCCAGTGTATCATTCATCCATTCACACACTGATGGTGATAAGCTACAATGTAGCCACAGCTGCCCTGGGGCGCACTGACAAGAGGTGAGGCTGCCGAGCACAGGCGCCACCGGTCCCTCCGACCACCACCAGCAGGGAGCGCCACAGCCTGTTCTTGTTGGATCTCAGCTGGAGCCCTTCTCTGTTTCTGAGGCTTTTCTCTGAAATCAAGTACTTTAATTTCAGACTTCATCATCATGCTTTATTTATATAGCACATTCCACCACCCTCAAAGGGAGCCCAAGGCGCTGAACAGGAAAAGTTACAAAGATAAAAAGTGGTAGCAAGTCATGAAAGCACTGAAAACAAATAAAAACATTCATTCATTCAAACTTTATTTCAGACATGGGAAATGTCCATAACAAGAATAAAATAAAAGTAAAAACACATTCTAATTACAAACCATATAGGCAGTTGTTCCAATGTTTAAAAAGGACTGAGGAGTACCTCGTGTCACTGTAAGTTAAAGATGACAGCGCTCTAACAACAGCGTTAGCTGACAAACTCAGTCGGCAGATGAATTTATACATGAAGAGCCTCAGAAGCGCATGAAAAGTAGGGATGTTACTCACAACAAACATATGTCTTGCAGAGGTCCATCTAGGGAGCTTCATGAGGATTCTAAAAGCATCCTGATAAGCCACGTGAAGCTTCTTCATTACTACCTCACTATAGTTGCACCACAAGTGGGCTGTATAGGGAGGAGTACAAAAGGAACGACAGAGGGACACTTTAACAGGATCTGAGCACATGCCAAAGTTACGTGCCAGAGTGTTAGCCTGCATGTACAGCTTACCGCATTGCCTCTTAATATCCTCATCATCACAGAGGTCGCTTCTTAACATGTGCCCCAAATATTTTACTTTGCTTACCACTTCGAGGACCTGATTTGTTAAGTTAAAAGATGGAAAGTTAAGCTTCAGGTCCCCTTTAGTAGCAGCAATCATAACCACTCTTTTTAGGGTTAAACAGGATGTCAAATTGCTCACCATACCCAGCACATGCCCTGAGCAGCTGCTGCAGGCCTGCGCTATAGGGAGACGTGAGGACTAGGCCATCTGCATATATTAGATGATTTACAAGCCGGTCACCCACCAAGCATCCAGTCTTACCGTTATCATTCAGAGTAACAGACAGCTCGTCAAGGTACAGGTTAAAAAGGACAGGAGACAGAATCCCGCCTTGTCTGACTCCATTTGATACGGAGAAAGGTTCAGACACTTCTGTCCCCCACTTTACCTGCATCAGTTGATGAGAGTACCAGAAGTGCAAAATCCTAACTAGGTATGAAGGGACCCCTCTGTTTTGTAGCTTGATGAATAATTTCTGATGGTTGACTCTGTCAAAGGCCTTAGAGGCGTCTAAAAAGCACATAAAAACAGAAGTATGTATTTGCTTACAGTTTCTTTTAAAGCGTAGATACACAAGTCAGTACTAAGTTTACCTTTAAAACCACACTGATTCTCTGTCGTAGTTATAAAACTTTGCAGTCTTTCCAGCAAAATATGCTCAAACACCTTGGACAACACACTTGCCATAGCAATAGGCCTGTAGTTACCAATACAGGTGATTTTTCCAGTTTTCTCTTTGACTATAGGGACTAAGAGAACAGATAACATATGGTCAGGCAAGATTCCATGCTTCAAAAAGCCGGTAAAGCACAATGAAAGTAACACCTGAGCTCTACAGCTAGCGTACTTCATGTGCTCTGCTGATAATTGATCAGGGCCGCAAGCTTTGTTTAATGACATTTTCTCTATAGCGAGACGGACTTCATCAGCTCTGACAATCATACCATGATTGTAGTCAATGTTGCCAACATTGAACCTTTCACTATTTACACAGTTAAAAATCCTACTAAAGTGATTCCTCCAGGCTTCTACAATGTTCTTGTCTCCTGAAACCCCATTTATAGATGCGGGTAGCAGCTGCTTACTGATACAGGAGCGTTTTAACTCCTTCCAGAACACCAAAACGTTATTAATCTTTAGTTTGTTCGCTAAGGAGTTCGCCCGCATTGTTTCCTCATTCCTTTTAATATAGCGAACAGCATTCTTGAACTTAACGTTCGCGGCTTTCTTAGACTCCAATATTCAACCGGATTTTGGTTTACCAGCAGCTGCCCAGGCTTTATAGGCTGCTCTGGACTCAGCATGTAACGCATAAGCATGCTCACTCCATCCTGGAAGCGGTTTAAATTTTGTTGATCCTTTTTGGCAGAGGAGCTCGCTGGCAATAATCAAGCTGTCCACAATATTTTGATACAGAGTGCATAAGTGCAGCCTGTGCTCCATTTGTTCCCAGTTGACATCTTTACACTGTAACGTTTCTTTGTGGACATTAACAGATCTCAGACTACAATCTGACAGTAAGTAATATTTCCTAATATCCTCGACTGACACTTTAGCCCAAGTCAGCTTCTCTGTGTGTGAGGGGCTCTGGTGTTGGAGCAGCACAGGCAATGTTTCACAGTTTACCACTATGGAAACAGGGATGTGATCAGTTGTTGCCAGGGAGTATAAGATTTCCACCCTGGATATGCATTCATGTGCATCCTCAGTGCATATACAGCGATCAAGCCAGGAAGTTGAGTGCCATGCCTCACTGACATACGTGTGGCTGTCTGCTGGCAGTCTCTCTTTGCTAGTTAAAACCAAGTTATTATTTACACAAAACTGAATCAGATGTTGCCCAAAGGTGGAGTGAGTGTCTGAAATGTCAGCATTCATATCATCAACGATAAAAACACAATTAAACTCACACTGACTGATAAATGAGCTTAAAAATCAAAGTTTCGCCAGATATTCATCTTCATTCTGCTGACTCTCATATGGCATATAAATATTTAAGATCATGAATGCCTTGTCATCCATAACTGCTATGCACCAGTCCACATTTAGCCTGACAACAGAAATAAAAGGATCATAATCCTTGTGCCAGAGGATGGCCACGCCTCCAGGTATCCTTCCTTGAATAATTCCAGATGACAGATCAGTAGTGGACTCCCCAGTACCAAAAAATTGCAGTGAAAAGAGTTTAACCGATCCAGGTTCTGTATAGAGCTCCGGGAGTTGACGTCACTTCTCCCGGCATGCAACAGTTCAAATCGAAACGGCGCCATATTGGCAGGTAGAAGCCGGCAGCTGGACTATTTGTTATTGTCAGAAAACTCAATCAGACAGGAAATATGGTAGATTCCTGTTGTGCCCCAGGATGCAGAACAGACACGGACGACATAAGGAATGAGCCATCTACAGGATTCCCCAAGATCCGGAGCGCCGCAAACGTTGGATCATTGTAATAAAACGCGCTAGTGACCGGGCTGAAATGAAACTGTGGGTTCCCGAGAGTAAAGGTTTCACTTATGCAGCGACCGCTTCATATCAGGTACTTAAACCAACGTTTCCTCAACTGTGTGTGGTATTTACTTTAAATGCTTTTATTACGATTCTTAGTGGGCTTCCTAAACTTATTTTGGCGTGGCTTTTTCTGTCTTATTACTAATAGCAACAAGTAAACGTCACGTAAAACGATGCCTCGTGAGTTCTGCGTGCTGCCGTTTACGTGTTTCATGATCACAGCAATTAACCGGCTAAGCTGTATTTAATTTTTAAGCAATGGTTGATCAATTGTCAGATCACACATAAAAAGCACTTTGGATTGCTGTTATCTGTCTCACCGAGACAGCTCTCAGACAGATCCTGAGACGCTCCTGCCTGACATTTTTATTTTATTCACGGAAAAAAAATCAGACTAGTGAGTTCTCTTGGTGTTCAGTTTATACATTCAAACAGCACAGCACTCTATTTAAACTACTTACATGTAAATCTGTTATTTGTCCATCCATCCATCCATTTTCATCCGCGTATCCGGAGTCGGGTTGCGGGGGCATGTAGCGTTGAGAGGCCCAGACTTCCCTCTCCCCAGCCGCCGGAGCCAGCTCCTCCGGGTAAATCCCAAGGGATTCCCCGGCCAGGTCCGGTAAGAAGTCCGCTCCAACAGCTTCTGGCGTCGGAGCGGGCAGTAGCGTCGAGTCCCAGACTTCCCTCTCCCCAGCCGCCGCCTCCTCCGGGGGAATCCCAAGGGGTTGCCCGGCCAGGTCCGGTAAGAAGTCCGCTCCAACAGCTTCTGGCGTCGGAGCGGGCAGTAGCGTCGAGTCCCAGACTTCCCTCTCCCCAGCCGCCTCCTCCTCCGGGGGAATCCCAAGGGGTTCCCCAGCTAGGTCCGGTAAGACGTCTGCTCCGACAGCTTCTAGCGTTTTTAAAAAGTATCCCAGGGGCACGGTAAGGGTCGGAGATGTTTAGTCTATTTAATTTCTGACTATATAAAACGATTTCTTCGGTTTTAAAGAGTGAAGTAAACTCCGACGAAGTAAAATCCAAGCTGATCCCGTTCACGTTCATGGTTAAGATCCGTGTTTGTTTAGCTTTTTACCTGCCAAAATGGCGTCCACTAACTGAGAGTCACGTGGGGTCCGGAGCTCCATAGGCAGCATTGTCTCTTGCAGACCTAAAATGTCAACATCTTCCAAAAGTTTATCAACAACAATACGACGTGCCCTATCCCCAGCCCTGTTACCAAGGCGCAGGCCACGGGAGTTGTATGACACAATTCTCATGCTTTACTGGGTGCTTCCTGAGTAAGTGGCTCCCCACTGGGCCCACCCGCAGCTCCATCTGCAGCCACAGCTCTGC